GGAAGGGACATTCCCGAAGGGACCAGAACAGCCAACGAAGCCAAACCCGATCCAGTGAGTAGACCATCATGGCAAAGTTCAGAATCCCGCACAAACCCTTGAGCAACTGCCGGATGACCCGGGAGCCCCCAGAAACAAGAGAAGGTGGAACCGCAGCCAAAGCAGAGACTCCAGAGGGAGAGACAAGGAAGCAGTCTGCAAAAGTCCCACACAAGACCCAGCCAAGACCGAACCTGAGAGGGAACCAGATGGGACTTCCTCCAGTTCACCAGGAACCCAAATCTAGCGAGCTGGGAAAGAACCAAATCCCTGGTGAGCAGACACAAGGACTGGCTGGGAGCCAACACCAGCCAGTCGTTGAGATGGGCTGGAACTTGAACCCCTAAGAGATGCAGACGGGCCACCACGACCCGGGTAAGGCATGTGAAAACGCGAGGTGCCAGATTCAAGCCAAAAGGAAAGCAACAAAAGTGGTAACCCTGACGTCCCACAACAAAACCGAGCCAGTCCCTGAACCCCGCATGAATCAGGACTTGCTAATATGTGTGCTGGAGGTCCAGGGCCACTATCCAAGCACTCCACGCACTCCAAGAGAAGCCGAACCTGGGACAGAGTAGTCATCTGAAAGGAGGGGCAATAGACCCAGGGGTTCAGATGGGACAAGTCCAGAATGAACCTCAGGTCTGCACAGACAGAAACAGACAAGAAACCCACCTGAGGGACGTTGTCGTTTTGACCACGCCCAAGCGCACCTACTCCGAGATGTCCCGACAGGGCACAGGAGAAGAGGCCTGCCCTGCCAGCCCTGAACCCCCACCAAAGGAGGAGGGGCCACCCAATGCCACCGCAGGCCGCTCGATGCAACCCGAAAGGCCTACAAATCGAGGGACCGGGAGTGAGCGAACAGAGCGAGCCTCCCCCCCCCCCATTACTCCATCAATGGGACGAACTGCGAAAGAGCTGATGCCCTTTATGTGAACTCTACCTTCGCGCAGAGCGATCACCACGCCGACCAGACGAAGATGGTTCCGAAGGCTGCACCAGCCCCGAAACTGGCACCACTGGCCTATCACGATGAGAAGAACCCTGAGCCCTGGCATGACTCTTCCGGAAAGACCCCCACTAGTCCTCCGGAGAACCAACAAGCCCGACATGGGACGACAACTGGAAGAAGCTGCTTACAGATACTGGCAACCGCAGAGTCCGCAAACAGCAAGGGACAAAAAGATGATGAAAACTTAAAAGCCAGGGCCCAAGCAGATTCCAAGCAGGACGCGAGCACTGCATATCAACACGCGAGATGAGAAGCAAAAAACAGACACCACATCCCGCAGGATCGGTGCGAACAGCTTTAACAGGGCAGACGACTCACGTGCTGCAGAGACCAAGGCACCAGACCCAGGAACGACCCCAAGTGCCTCCACATCCACCTCAAGTCAATCCAAGGTCAGCTCCATGAGGGAAAATAAATGCAAGACCGAAGCTAACAGGCCACCAGTGCATAAGTCCTCAGCAACCAGTGCAGCTGAAAGGGTGGGAGCCTGCAGGTGAAGCAGCAAGATGCCGACATCCTGAGGAAGGGTAGGGGCGAACAAGCACACACTGAGGTGCTTAAACTCATTCCCCAGGTATACCTGGACCACCGTCAGAGCCTCACACTGTAACACTGTAAAGGTGTTTTGTGTTTAATATACACAGAGTACATGAGCCACAGACAAGATTTGAGAGGTGCCATTCTGTCGGCCTGAAAGTTACACCTTTAGAATGTTAATGACCACCAAGTGATCAAGGTCAGGTCGTATGAAGTTGACCTTGTTTCTGCTAAGCTCATAATTGTAGCCGGGTGGGTCCTTCAAACAAGCCATCAGTTTAAGGTGTGGCTTGATAGAGTGCCTGGGGTTATCTACTTGTGGGCGGAGTTAGCTAGTTGGTCCCCAATAAATACCCAAAGTACTGTACACTCGAGCAATAGGAGAACAGCCCAGCAGAGCAGAGCAGAGGACAGCATAGCCAGGCAGGCTGTCAGCCGGACGGGGGGACTCTGTCAACTGCAGACCCGCCCCTCCCCGTCTCTATCCAGCTATAGGCAGACACTTGGCGAGTTGAACATGAAAGGGGACTTATTTCGTGTACTAAGATGTTGTGTGATTTCTAGGAGCAGACAGCTGTAGTGATTCTCAAAGTTCTGTGTCGTGGCTCACATTGTTTATCTGGACATAATGAACCTTCAGTTCGATTGCTTGAATTCTGAAACTAATTACCCTTACTAATTACTTCATTATTCATTTCTTCCTTTCGTTTCTCTTATATGTTCGTGGCAGAAGAGTTAACTAGGGGACGGGATAATGGACTAAAGAGAGCTATTTTCCCCCACCCCCGTTACAACGACACTCAAGCGTGCAGGACCGACAGAACGTATGCCAAGCCTCCAATGAAAAGCCAAGGCAGTTCGCAAGCTAGGACGACTCCGGAACCTTATAATGAACCCAATAAGGAAAGAAAGATCCAAACCTGAATGAAGACTGATCCATTAAGGAGGTAAAAGTTGGGTCGCGCAGGAAGTAAGCCACAATGGCTTCCCACACCTCATGAGGCGGGAAGCCTAAAACTTTCGGAAGGACAGGACCGACAGACCCAAAGGGATATGGAATAAAACTCAGGTTGGGGCTGACACCAAATCGAACTTGTATGCGGAATGGAGGAAGGAAAACCCCACCCCCTGCAACAACAAGCGAGGTCCAATGGGGCCCAAGGCCTCCAAGTCAACCCCTCCCCAGCCCCGGGAACCTCCACAGCAGGACCCAGGGCCGAGCTATCCCCCAAAGCTCCGACTTAAAAAGGAGAAGCAGGAGCAGCCAGAAAAGCAGGAAGGAAGGAAGGGGGCCCCACTGATCAGACCCAGACGCTTTGGCAGGAGGAACCGGCTCGAATGCCTCCGTTGCCACCCCGGAAGGGGGCATCCCTTGAGACTGCCCAAGTCTCGAAACCAGCTAAACCCTGCCCTGACTCCGAAACTCCCCCTGCTTTCACTACAGAGGGGGGACCAGAACGAACCACAGCAGGGAAAGGACGAGGGGGTGCGGACTGAACCAAATTTGAAGCGCCTAACACACCCAAGTCTGGGTCCCTATAACCAAAACGTGGCAGTCTCGGGGTTTTGGGTCAGCAACCAACCTGGAGCTGCAGCAACCTAAAATGAGCATGCCTGCACCCGAATAGTCATCAGTGGACTGGGTGTACCAAGTCACAAACAAGCAACAAAACTCGCAGGACTCTGGGTCGAAGGTGTCACCGACCCAGCAGGCAGCAGGACGGAGGCATAAATTGTGAAGGTCACCCGGAGACAAGGGAACCGAGCAATCCTCAAACTCGCACAAGGCAAGAGTCTGGCATGGGGTTTTCCCAGGGTCCTGCGATGAAACTCATGCACAGGGAAGCCCAGGTAGGGTACTCTTAACTGGCACTCAAGTTACCAACAAAAACTGCTAAAGCTGCCCCCCCCCCTCCCTGGGGAGACATGTACACTCACGGGTATAGGGGTGTACACTCACCAAGATACAATCTGGTGAGACCAAAGCCAAGGGGCAGACCTCCCACCAGGCAAGAAAAACAAAATCAAAAGAAAAACCCTGCAAGAGGACAACATACCCAGGCAGAGCAGAGCCAGCTGCTATGAGAGGATATAACTAGCTGCACAGCACTCTGCGCCCCCACCAGTGACGAATACTACCCCCCTACCCAGAGGCAAACAGAAGTGAAGGAAACACCCCAGCTGACTCCAAGGGCAGCCAGTCACTGAGTAGCAAAAGACCTTGCAGAGGTAGTCCCCCAAGGTGACTTGTGGAAGATGGCCCCAAGCCCCAAGGGCAGTACACACAGGGTACCTAGGGAAGGTGACCCTAGGTGCATGCAGCCCGAGTACAGTACTTGTGAATATACTCCTGGCTCACACTTCACCAAAGACAGCATGACACCACAAGGCATAGGACTGGAAATCTGGAGCCAAAGTTGTACAACCTTGCCAGCCTCACATCAGCCACAGAACTACTGGGTGGAAGGTCGGTGCGTGAGGTCTCGGGCTCCCTCCTTTCCCCTCCCGGGGAGGGGGGAGCTGCACAGACAGCGGCGTGGTGACATCATGCTCGTTTGCTCGTTTTCATTTGTGGAGTTCTATCCACTAGGTCGGCTTTTCGTAATAATTTTTTAACCAGAATAGGGGTTTGTTTTGGAGTGCTTACCTTTCTGGATGCCTGACCCGGTCAATGGCAGATATAGAATGCTTCCAACCACACGGGGGGTTTCTATAGGCCATTGCTCCTTGTGGCTCTCTGAGGGGCCCCTGGTTCTGGCTCGTGGTCCCCGGTAGGCCTAAGAACTCCATTTGCTTGACTGATGCCAGGGTCTAATACATTCATATCAGCTCGGTTAGCTCCAAGGACCCGAAGGGGTTCCCCCCAGAAAATAATAATATTCTGAAGAAGAACTGATGTTAATTATTATTGAAGGCAGAAAATCCATTAGAATGCACCCACAAAAATTTCAAAGTTTAAGATTTGTTAATATATTAATCAATAAATACGATAGCTTACTATTGAATTTAGAGAGAATATGTCACATTAACATGGCTGAAACAAATAACACAACCCACACATATGAAATGAACATGATATTTTGGTTCACTCTGAGCCAAACCTCAGAAAAAAAATCTTTTTAGGTTTTGTAACATGTCACAATTTTATTAGGGTCAAGGATGGACTAAAACAGTGTCATTTTCAATCATGTGTGGGCTGGGTAATTTATAAATTATGCCTAATACCCGATAAATAACAGACCGCATACTTTTGTTAATGAAGAAGATCAAGAGAAAGGTCATTTATTACATCCCGATAATCTTTTATACTAACAAAGGTACTGTATTTCTCTAAAGCACTTTTTCTAGGCCTTTCCTCACAAATGTTTTCTCATTCAATAGAATTTTTGCAATGCTAAGCACTCCTTACTTTGATGAAGAGGGAAAGAGAGGCTGACGCACGACTGTAACGACACCCCCTTTGAAACATTCACCAGTCGGGTCAAAATCAGTGGTTGGAGTCTGTACTGTCGGAGAATGTTGTCGGCCCTGACTGGTCGTTGCAGTTGGCGAGTCAGCCACTGGTTCACTGAATTGAAATTAGAAATTAACTGCTGAGCTTCAAGATAAAGAATGACTTGAGAGGGTTGGTTATGTTGTAAATTGAATTAAAACAACAACTTATGTGTTACAAATCCACAAGTTTTGGATGATAACAAAGAATAACTAAAATATAAGTGACATTCTTTAAATTAAATACAATTTAAGATATTCCCATATAAAATTTTACCAAAAATTAAAAAAAAAAAATTGTCAACAGAATTCATGAAAATAATGAAACCAACACACAAATCATTCTCACGAACTACTGGCTCCCAGAACTGAAGGGCAAGAGCTACAAGGAGAGGTTAGAGGCATTAAATATGCCAAAGCTAGAAGACAGAAGAAAAAGAGATGATATGATCACTACATACAAAATAGTAACAGGAATTGATAAAATCGATAGGGAAGATTTCCTGAGACCTGGAACTTTAAGAACAAGAGGTCAGAGATTTAAACTAGCTAAACACAGATGCTGAAGAAATATAAGAAAATTCACTTTCGCAAACAGAGTGGTAGATGGTTGGAACAAGTTAGGCGAGAAGGTGTGGAGGCCAAGACCGTCAGTAGTTTCAAAGCGTTATATGACAAAGAGTGCTGGGAAGACGGGACACCACGAGCGTAGCTCTCATCCTGTAACTACACTTAGGTAATTACACTTAGGTAATTACACTTAGGTAATTACACACACACACACACAAATTCTGATAAAGAATTCTGATAAAGAAAGAGATCTAGGGGTGGTTCTAGATAGAAAACTATCACCTGAGGACCACATAAAGAATATTGTGCGAGGAGCTTATGCCACGCTTTCTAACTTCAGAATTGCTTTTAAATACATGGATGGTGATATACTAATGAAATTGTTCACGACTTTTGTTAGGCCAAAGCTAGAATATGCAGCGGTTGTGTGGTGCCCATATCTTAAGAAGCACATCAACAAACTGGAAAAGGTGCAAAGACATGCTACTAAGTGGCTCCCAGAACTGAAGGGCAAGAGCTACGAGGAGAGGTTAGAGGCATTAAATATGCCAAAACTAGAAGACAGAAGAAAAAGAGGCGATATGATCACTACATACAAAATAGTAACAGGAATTGATAAAATCAATAGGGAAGATTTCCTGAGACCTGGAACTTTAAGAACAAGATGTCATAGATTTAAACTAGCTAAACACAGATGCCGAAGAAATGTAAGAAAATTCACTTTTGCAAACAGAGTGGTAGACGGTTGGAACAAGTTAGGTGAGAAGGTGGTGGAGGCCAAGACCGTCAGTAGTTGCAAAGCGTTATATGACAAAGAGTGCTGGGAAAACGGGACACCACAAGCGTAGCTCTCATCCTGTAACTACACTTAGGTAATTACACACACACACACACATACAGTAGTACCTCGGGTTACAAACATCCCTGTTTACAAACTTTTCGGGTTACGTGCCTGATTTGTTCGGAAAATTTGAATCAGGATACGAATTTTGCACTGGGATACGAGTGTGTTGATACGCATACGGCCGACCTAGCGTATGGTGGCACGGGCGATCGCGCCTCAGTTTAACAGTGCCTCGCACCCAGTGACTATCCCGCCTGAATTCTTCCCAAGAATTTACAGTTTTTTGTTGGATTTTTAGCCACTTGAGCATAAAAGTTGTTATAATATATCTCGCCATGGGTCCCAAGAAAGCCAGTGGTTAGCTTCAAGGTAAGAAATCACATTTGAGAATGACCATAGAGTTAAAACAAAGAGATCATTCGTAAGCATGAAAATGGTACTCGTGTTGTTGAACTAGCTAGGCAGTACAACAAATCTTCAGGGGAGGAAGAGGAGGCAGTAGAGAATGTCCCTTCCTCGTTAATTAAGAAAATGTGTGCAGTATGGGAAGGACTGCAAAGTTTGCTGAAAAGAATCACCCAAATAAAGCTGTAGTAGGCCAGTGCATTGATCTTTTTAATGACAATGTGATGCCTCACAACAGACAAGTGTTACAAAGAAGGGAAAAACAATCTTCAATCGAATGTTTCCTTGTGAGAAAAGTGAGAAAATCAAGCAGTGAGCCACAACCAGGACCTAATGGTATGCAGGAAAAACGTGCCAGAGAGTGCACTCCAGAGAAATCTTCACTGCCTGATGTGATAATGGAAGGGGACTCCCCTTCCAAACAGTAACACCTCTCCTCCACCCCCCTCCTCACCATCTTCCATACCCCAACAGGAGTCATCAGCAAGGGTAAGTAATAACTTGAACATACTTTTGTAGTGAAGATTTGGGTGAATTAGGTATAAAATTTACTTTGAAGTGAAGTTTTTGGGGAGTCAGGAACGGATTGATTCATTTCCCATTATTTCTTATGGGGAAATTTGCTTCGGTTTACAAATTTTTGGGTTACAAACCGTCTCCAGGAACTGATTAAATTCTTAAACCGAGGTACTCCTGTATATATATATATTTTGTCTTATAAAATGTTCATTTGTGTTCTATGATCACGGGAAAAATAATAAAAAATTCGTTGGTGGCATATTTTGGCCACAATAGGGCAGAGAAGTCTAGCATAAAAGAGGCATTGACAGAGCAATTGCCGGAGGCGGTCTGCTCTGCTCGAGCTGTCAGGCGGGAGTTGCCACAAAGATATTATTACCTAATTATTTCAATGTCTGATTGATTTGTTTTAAGTTTTTTTGCAGTAATATTATTCAATAGTGTGTAGTGTGATATATTTATATAATAAAATGTGTGAATCATTGCTATACTCAAAAGTATTGTGATTATATTAGTGACTCAATTATTATGTTTATAAAATAATAAACAAATAGTTTTGCTGTTATTACACTATATACTCAGGTTATACATAAGTTTCTGCATGTTTTGTTCACTATAACTATACAACTAAGCTGGTATCATTAGTTCAGACTGACAGAGGTCGCCACACACAGCTGATGGCCCCGCCCTCATTGGTTCAAGGCCAGATGCACTAACATTCCTCTTTCAAGTATACTGTTTGTGGTGTTATTACTCTATATATATATATATATATACACATTATATATAAGTATCTACATTTGTGTGAAGGTTCCATCACCTTAAGATGGTGTGAAGATTCCATTCATAGTGAACCACTAAGCTGGGATGGTGAGTGCAGACAGTAACAGGTGGCCCACACAAATTCAGCAGACAACTGTACAGCCCTTCCTCCTTCAACATTACTCATCTCACAATACTATGCACAATGGAAATTATCACAACAATCCTGCTATTATCAGAATCCTGGTCATTTTTATCACAGTCAGGGGGTTTTCTGTAATACTATCATCACTAAATAATGCCAGTTACACATATTTTTTAAGTGATGCTGTGGTCACAAGCTGAACAGCAGTGCTGTGAGCTCATGATGCGTGTGCCAGCCTTGGTGGCTCACTCAGTACAGAAGCTCTTGCACCCCGGTAATGTTACCCATGATTTTTTTATTTAAAATGGCGTCTGTTTACAAGATGCCTGAGGAAGCTGATGTGAACCCTGTGTAGCTGCGGGACTTTTAAATCTTACGTGGTACTCCCAACCATACATAACTGTGTTGCACTGTCCCACAATAGTTTGTCACCCCAGCTATAGATGTATTGCGCCCTTTAAGGGTTAAGGGTTTAACCTGTTGTAATATTTATCTACAATATTAGCCAGTCAGGTCATGTGTAGTTTGTGCTATGCTGTATTCAGTGACAGGCATTTTAACACTGGATTAATAATAAATTCATCAGTCGGTCCTATATTGCGAAGGTGGGTCAGTGGCCAGTCGTGTGAGCAGGTGATTGGAGGGGTGCCATTACGTAAGTGTAGTTACAGTGACACATCATATAAAGATGAAGTACATATCTAATCAGAGATAAGTAAACTAAGCTAAACAAAACTGAACAAAATTTAAAAATGCTGCACATAACTTTATTATTCTATTTTTGTATCATTTAGTCAAGAATACTAACCTGCTTGCATCTGTGCCAAGAAGTAAGGCAATGTTGTTTAAGTTCCTTTCACCACTGAAGAATTCATCTAGCACCAGTTTTGCAGTCTGGAAATACAAATTTCATTTGAATAATACTACATTACGTATATCATAATTAGATACTTTCACACTGAAATTTGAAATTCCATAAATGCGTGTCGAATTTTGTGCCAATGATTATATACAGATATTTGTGTTTATAGTAGCAGGTGAAAAGATTCATATTTCAATAAAAAAAACCAGCGTTGAATGTAATGAAACACCATTTTCTGAGAGAGCCCCGGAGGCTCCCTGGAGCTTATCGGGCTAATGTATGTTATATTAGACCGAGACATTAGCTAAGGAGTTCAGACCCACCAGGGACCAGCGCCAGAACTTGGCCCCTTCTGAGAGATTTCAGGGAGCAATGGCTTTGGAAAACTTGTGGTTGGGGTTTTCCTTATCTGCCATCGACCGGGGTCAGGCACCCAGAAAGGTAGGCATAACAAAAGAAACCCCACATGGTAAAAAACTAAAACCAAAAAACGAACAGAGAGGTAGAAACTCCCTACAATCCCAAGGAAACAAGCAAACATCACACTTTACTGCCACGCCAATCGTCCGTGCAGCCCTCCCTGCCCCGGGAGGGAGAGGGGGGAAGCCCTGGACCTCACCGTGCCGGCTGCCTAGAATCAGCTCGGAAGCTAAGCTTCAACCAACATAAAAAAACCGCCAACCCGTGGGAGGGAGGGTTGCCAGGGAGCCTTCTGGACTCACCCAGAAAATGGTGTTTCATAACATTCAACGCTGGTTTTCTGTGGGAAGCCCCTACGGCTCCCTGGAGTCATATCCAAAGAGAAGAAAAAGAAAGGGCTAACCCGGGAGGCGGCCGCCACAAACTCCGCAACGCGAAGCCGAGACAACAGGCTGCAACCTGCGACCCAAGGCAACAAGAACGCACAGGAGCAGACGCGCATAAAGAATGGGCAGCCAAGAACCTGTGCAACCCTCAAATCCCTGAGCCCGAAATGAGCCCTAGAGGTCACCAACACACCAGCAAAAGCTGCAAACGTCCGAACAGCACAGGCGCAAGGACAGATCGCAGGCTGGAAGACTGAAAAACTCTGTGGACGACCTGGGAGACCCAAGCCCTGAAAACAGGGAATGAGAGGAACCGGATCAGCTTAAAGCGCATCCCCAGACACGGTACGCAGGAAACGGCAAAAAAAGCACAACCGGATAACACAGGACGCACCCTCGGCCAAACCAATCAAGCATCAATAACCCAAGAACCCCTCCGGAAAGCAGCCGTCTCGACCGTCGCCAGGACGGAGAAAGGCTGCAAACGTACAAAACACGAGAAAGCGTATGAAACGGGGCAGATGTGACGTCCACCCCGAACGCAAGCCGGAGCGGCTCCACCAGCGCCGTACAAAACGAGGCGACAGTAAGAAACATCAATTAACTGTAGTCCTGAAAACCCAAGAAAGGACAAGATAACCCGATGCAAAAGAGAAGACAACCTACGAAGAGCTAGAACAAGTGCACAGAAACACCAGGAACGTCATACTGTCACCGAGACGAAGCTCACAGGTGGGACACCGTCAACAAAGCCACCTGATCACCACAGAGATGGTGATACCCGTGTCAAAAAACCAAACGCAAAGAGCCGAGGAGAAAGCCGAACCAGTCCCGTACAGAACCGATCCGACCTGCCGAAAGAGGCGGAGCCGCAGGAAAACGCCCCGGGTTCGGACACCTATCAAGCAGCATCTGAAAATAAAGCTGGGCCGGCCACCAAGGAACCATAAGGACTACTCTCGTGGGAATGGGCTCCAACCGAGCCAGAACCCGAAGCAACAGCTGGACCAGGAGAAGAGGAACAGGTACCCCCACCTCGACCAGTCCTGCCGAAAGGCATCCACTGTGAACGCCTCGCAGGCGGGTAAGGGCGCTACATAAAATAGGTGATGCCTAGACCATGCTGACTCGAAGACATCCATGGCCAGGAGTCCATACGTCCGGTAGAGCCAACGAAACGAGTCGGCGACGACTGGCCAATCTGCAAACAGAGGAATGAACCAAGACAGCTGTCCGCCAGGACGCAGGACACACCCCGGACATGAACCTCACGGTTAGCCAAACCCCAAAATTCCAGCAAACGAGCCACTCTAAGGAACCAACCCCAAAGGTCAACACCTAAGAGAAACCCTGTGGTTCCGGCAAAGAACCGCCAGAGAACAGTCCGAATGGAGCTAGATGGTAGAGCACCGAGTGACCCAAACCCTCCAAAGTGCAAATCAGACAGCCACGAACTCCCGAACCGTGCTGTGAGCCCGACGGATAGACAGATCCCACCATTCCAGGCCGACCTGGTGAGCACTGGTCACAAAGCTCTAGCCGAGAGATGACCCGTCCGTGAACACATCGAGCGAAGGCTCGGGGAGGTGCCAAGGCACGGAACCCCGAAAACCCCAAAGAGGAAGCTGATGACGCAGCACCAACACAAGATCCCCGGAGGAACGAACCCAACGATTGCAAGAGAGGCGGAAGGGGAGTTTCCGAAGGAACCAAACAGACGCCGAAGCCAAACCCGACCCCGCGGGCATACCAGCACGTCGAAGTTCAGACTCCCGCACAACTGCTCAAGCAACTGCTGAACAACCTGGGACCCCCTCATGAACAGGCGAAGGTAGGACCACAGCCGCAGCAACACTTCTGGAGGGAAAGACAAGGAACGGCCCAAGAGCCCTAAACAAGGCCCAGCCAGGTCCAAATCCGGGACGGAAACAGATGGAATGGCCTCCAGATCACCAGGAAACCAAACCCGGCGATCTGGAAAGAACCATACCCCTGGCGAGCAGACAAGCGGACCGACTGGGAGCCCACACACCAGCCAGTCATCGAGGTAGGCCAGACACCGAATCCCAAGCAGACTCAGACAGGGCACCAAGATCCCGTAAAGATGCAAAAATACACCAAGTGCCAATTACAAAATAGGGAAGGCAAAAGCGGCAAGCCTGAAGCCCTGCCACCAACTGTGCCAGTCCCGGAAAACTGGAGAGGAATGTGCCAAGAATTGACCTGGAGGTCCAGGGCCACCATCCAGGCACCCGGCCCCAACAAAAGCCAGACAGGAGACAACAGTCCTCCAATGAGGGCATAGAATCCAGGGCGCAGACTGAAGAAGTCCAGAAGAACCGCAGATTTGACAGGCCCATGTCTGCAAAGAGCAGACGGGAACCCCAGAAGAATGGGGGCGGAACGACCACGTCCAAGGCATCCACTAAGATGACATAACGAAGAGTGGGGAAGAAGCCCACCTCGCCAGCCCTGAACTCCCCAAAAGGGAAGAAGCCATCCACCGCTGCCACCAGAGGCCGGAAGACAGCCAAAAGCGCCCACTAACTGCGGGACCATGCGAGAGCCAACAGATCAAGCTGCTCCCCCAGCGCCCCGTCAACAGAGAAGGGAACAGAGCCCCTTCCAAAAGAAAAAGTATACATACACATATACACATATATATTATTTATATGCACATACACATACCTATACATATACACCTACACATACCTATACATATACACCTACACACAAGGTATGTTACTCACACGTACATATGCACACACACACAGTGTACACATGCACATGTGTACACATACACGTGAAAAGAAAATTACAAGCCACCGACCAGTGAGCAGAGAGCACCACGCCGGCCAGGCGAAGAAGGCACAAAACTGCATCAAAAGGCCCACCTCGACAACAAAACTTTGAAGTTCCAGCACGACCACAAAACGTGCCAAGATCCAAAAAGATCAGTCTGCATGCCAGGAAGACCCTGGAACTCCAGAAGGCAGAACTGGGTCACACACGAGGAAACAAAGCCCCCTGAACCCACAAAGGGGGCCCAAGAGGAAGAAACCTCCGGAATGAAACCAAAGAACCCAAAGGAACCCAGAATCGAACCAGGGGGAGCCCCTGGGGGCTCCCCCTGGTTCAAGGGGAAAACCCCCTTGGAAAAACACAAGGGAGTTTTCCAGGGTCATTGCTCCCTGAAACCTCTCTGAAGGGGCCAGGTTCTGGCACTGGTCCCTGGTAGGTCTGAACTCCTTAGCTCATGTCCCGGTCTAATATAACATACATTAGCCCGATAAGCTCCAGGGAGCCGTAGGGGCTCCCCACAGAAAAGAGCCAAACTCAAAAGAAGGATCCATTATCGAGGCATAATCTGGGTCTCGCAGGAGGTACGCCACAAGGGCTTCCGGTATCTCCAGCGGCGGGATGCGGGAGGCCAATTGAAATAGGCTAGGAAATTGACAAAAACTTGTAATCCAGGGCATACATAAACCAAGATTCCACTGTATAAGAAAATTTCCTTTCCCAAACAGAGTGGTATACGGTTGAAACACGTTAGGTGAGAAGGTGGTGGTGGCCAAAACCGCCAGTAATTTCAAAGCGGTATATGACAAAGAGTAGAGTACTGGGAGGTCAGGACACCACAAGCATAGCTCTCATCCTGTAACTCCACTTAGGTAATTACACTCACCCATATTTTTATACACCAATACAATTAGAATTTTTGTTCCATCATGTGGCAGAGTTGTTTACACAAACTACAGTAGACAGAATATTTGTTAATGAAAATCATTAACAAATAGGGATTTAGGGTTGCAGGTTAAACATTAACTCACAAGATCATTCAACCCTTAGGTTTACAGTATTAGTTGATGACATTCACACATGTAGAAGATAGAATTAAAAATCAACGCAATTTAGATACTCGGTATTTAGAAACCATGCTCAAATGAGATTTTATTTTCTAATCTGAATGCTAATTTGCAATGATTTGTCTATTTTTTCAAGTTAATTTATCTGAACCAAGGCTATTATGACATGCCTTCAACAAATTTTGAGATAACACTAATATCCCTTCCCTGCTTCCCTATTATAATAGTAATAAGTATGTAACTATGGATAATAATGATGGTTAGAAGTACTATCCTAAAAATATATATACAATGTACAATCATATACAAAATTAAGAAAACCAACCCTGACAAGATGCAAGTTATTTCCTGTGATTCTGAGAGCATCACTTCCATGTGTGACAGTGTATCGGTACTCTCCCAAGGGGTCATCTCCCATAGACTGGCTGTGGACGAGAGTATTCCTCTTCGAACCTGAACGCCGAGAACCAGTAGAGACAAATATTATGAAAACAACAGATTATTATGCTTTAAAATATTAAAATATTTACATACAAAGATAAATTATCTACATATTTGCTGACTTCTTTCTGACAACATTCCTTTATTGTGAGTCAGCTTATAAATCTTCCCCAGACTTTTCAACCACCTTAAAATAGAGCCTACAGGTTTCCTAGTGCTTAAGTGAATGAAATGTTTATTTCCACAATAGTGTGGTTGACAATTTATATCACGAGGGCATGGATTACTAATTCCTCTGAGGTTCAGTTGTAAGGTACGAGATTGGAAGCCATACTCTAGAGTACAACTAACAAAACCTGTTCTTACTTTTTAATAAATAATGGGAGGGATGGATATATATATATATATATATATATATATATATATATATATATATATATATATATATATATATATATATATATATATATATATATATATATATATATATATATATATATATATATATATATATATATATATAATATATATATATATATAATATATATATATATAATATATATATATATATATATATATATATATATATATATATAATATATATATATATATATATATATATATATATATATATATATATATATATATATATATATATATAATATATATATATATATATATATATATATATATATATATATATATATATATATATATATATATATATATATAATATATATATATATATATATATATATATATATATATATATCTATATATATATATATATATATATATATATATATATATATATATATATATATATATATATATATATATATATATATATATATATATATATATATATATAATATATATATATATATATATATATATATATATATATATATATATATATATATATATATATATATATATATATATATATATATATATATATATATATATATATATATATATATATATATATATATATATATATATATATATATATATATATATATATATATATATATATATATATATATATATATATATATAATATATATATATATATATATATATATATATATATATATATATATATAATATATATATATATATATATATATATATATATATATAATATATATATATATATATATATATATATATATATATATATATATATATATATATATATATATATATATATAATATATATATATATATATATATATATATATATATATAATATATATATATATATATATATATATATATATATATATATATAATATATATATATATATATATATATATATATATATATATATATATATATATATATATATATATATATATATATATATATATATATATATATATATATATATATATATATGTCGTACCTAGTAGCCAGAACGCACTTCTCAGCCTACTATGCAAGGCCCGATTTGCCTAATAAGCCAAGTTTTCATGAATTAATTTTTTTTCGACTACCTAACCTACCTAACCTAACCTAACGTTTTCGGCTACCTAACCTAACCTAACCTATAAAGATAGGTTAGGTTAGGTTAGGTAGGGTTGGTTAGGTTCGGTCATATATCTACGTTAATTTTAACTCCAATAAAAAAAATTGACCTCATACATAATGAAATGGGTAGCTTTATCATTTCATAAGAAAAAAATTAGAGAAAATATATTAATTCAGGAAAACTTGGCTTATTAGGCAAATCGGGCCTTGCATAGTAGGCCGAGAAGTGCGTTCTGGCTACTAGGTACGACATATACACATATACATATATCTCATTGAATATGACCGCAAATTCTGTATTTACTATCTTCTGATTTAGGGCTTCTATCCCTCTAACTATTTTCCTAGCATCAGGGCTTAGCTGAAAGAGGAGTTCTCCAAAACTCATTTTCGTAATTTCAAGGTGATGAAAAAAGTGAATTACCATAGAATGTAATACACTTTTTATACACTTATTTATACAATTTGCACAACGTTTCGAACCTCCATGATTCATTCTCAAGTGAAAAGAATTTAGAGAACCGGTTGATTTATACCCGCACTGGGTCAGGTGATAAGACAATAAAGGTAAAAACATGGGGATACATAAGGGATAAATGGGGGATGAAGCACATAAGACCATAAGAATAAAGGTAACTGCAGAAGGCCTACTGGCCCATACGAGGACGCTCCTATCTACATACAAAGATTAATCAGGTGTAATTGGCCTGTTATGTTGAACAGTGTCTTCTGTGTTGGCATCTTTATGTTCTGGTGTTGTCCTTACTCTCATGGTGGGTAGAGTAAATAGTTCCGTGATTTGGGTGTTCATGGTAGGTTGTTCTATTCTTATGTGAATTGCTTCAAGAATTTGTAATCTTCTTGCATCTTGGGTTTTGTCTATTATACAGGTATTTTTGTTCAACATTTCTCTTGTTAGGGTGATGTCATGGGCTTGTCTCATGTGATTCCTGGGGGCACCGGATTGAAGATGACATGTCAAACGCCTCGTCAGCTTGGTCGACGTCATACCTATGTACTTAGATTGAAGGTTACATCCTTCGTGGGGGCAAGTGTACATGTATACAACGCTTGACTGCTGTAGAGGGTTCTCCGTCGGCTTCGGGCTGTTTTTGATAAGGAGTTCGGAAGTCTTCTTGGTTTTGTAGAATATTATCAGGTCTATGTTTTGGTTAGGAGTAATGCTTTTTACTCCTTTACGGATTATTTCTTTCATTATTCTTTTTTCTTTTATAAGTTCACTGTGCATGGTTGATTTGTAATATAATTTTATTGGAGGTATTGTTGTTTCTGTTCTAGGTTCAGGATTATACCATCGGTCCAAGTGTCTTCTTATAGCAGCGTTTATTTCCGCATTGCTATATCCGTTGTTCACCAATACCCGAGTTACTGTTTCACTCTCTACTCACGTTGCTCCATTCGGAGCAGGGGTAAGCACTCGACGAATATAAGCATTGAGAACACTGGCTTTGTATCTTTGGGGGCACTCACTTCTACCGTTCAGGCATAATCCTATGTAGGTGGGCTTAGTATATACGTTGGTGCTTAAAGAGGTTCCTGTTTTTGTTATTAGTACATCCAAGAATGGCAGACTGTTATTTTCATTATTTTCATGTGTAAATCGGAGTACTGACTCTCTCTCTAGATGGCTTTTTAGATCAATTAGTTCATCTGAGTCTTTTACTATGACGAATATGTCATCTACATAACGGCAGTATACAGTTGGTTTTTGTCTGCTACTGAAGACTTTGTCTTCGATGGTTCCCATATAAAAATTAGCAAATAAAACTCCTAAAGGGGAGCCCATTGCTACTCCGTCTATTTGTAGATACATGTCTCCTTGTGGACTGATGAAAGGGGCTTCCTTTGTACATGCTTCAAGAAGACTCCTCAAGTGTGGCTCAGGTATGTCTAATTTGGGGGTGCTCTCGTCTCTGTATACTCTGTCCAGTATCATTCCTATGGTTGTGTCGACTGGGATGTTAGTAAATAAGGATTCGACGTCCAGGGAAGCAATGATTCCATCGGGCTGAGTAGATTTGATTAATTCTAGAAAATCTGCTGATGATTGTAGACTATACTTACTTGGAGTGTATGGAGTTAGGAGTTCGTCAAGTCTTTTTGCCATGGCAAAAAGCGCAAAAAGACTTAATGAACTCCTAACTCCATACACTCCAAGCAAGTATAGTCTACAATCATCACCAAATTTTTATCCTATATTATTATTATTATTATTATTATAAAGGAAAGAATTTTCTAATTTTGCATCTTAACACTTTCGCGCTATCTGAACGCACCGGCGCGTCCGGTTTCGTCTAACGTAAATGCATAGTGGACATAAAGTTATGTCAACTTTTAAAATATTTGTATAAAATTCAATTTTTATCCGATTTACTTTGGGTTTGTTTTAAACTGCGCGCTATGAGGCTCTCTTTCTCACCACTAGGCTGCATGGTACAATAAGTTCATGAAAGGTGTGGATAACTTCGATCAAATGGTATTTTGTCCCAAACGGGTTGCAGGTGGGTGACTTTAGCCGTTTATACTGGTAATGCTTCCCCCATATCATGTATTATATGCATATGTCTGTTTAGGGAATTTTATTCCGATCAATATACAACCAAAAATAACTGTGTGCAACAAGTATTAACTTGACAAACGTAACAAAAGTAAAAACATTTCGTGTGTGTTTGACGCTCACTGATATGTTCCAGCGTTGTTTTATATATGGCGCTATTCTAACTTACGCTTTGTTGATATTTTTTTACCTATGGGCACATAGAACATTCTATTGCGAACACATTGACACAAAAATGAATGACGTACATAGAAAATTAATGTCATGAGAGTGAAATAAGTATAAACTTTCAAAGCGCCGTGCGTCGTCCCGTCACCGATACCGGGTAACAATTTCACCACTTCCCACACTCTTGCGGGCGGGCCGCAATCATTATTCTACGCTTATATTCATATCACCGTGTTGGGAATTTCATTGCGAGTCCATTGATACCAAAATTAACGCTGTAGAACAAGTGTGGAGGTGATTACAATCCCAAGAGTAAAAACATTTTGTTGCTGATGGGCGCTCACGGCGAGTCATCTTCGTAGTTATTTATTTGGTGCTGGTATCCCTATACGTTTCGTGAGTTTTTTTACTGATGTTCTTCTAGAGAATTTTATTGCGAACACATTGGTACCAAAATGAAATACGTAGCATGAGAACTAAGGTCAGAAGAGTAAAAAGAGTATACACATTTTTGTTTTTACGCTTAAGTGATAAAAACGCAGCGCGCACATTCGGTTGGCTGAGTGACCTTTGCGGAGAGCGCGAAAGTGTTAACATCAATTGGGAAGGGGGTGTGACAGCTGAGTGGACAGCACTTGGGGTTTGTAGTCCTAAGGGTTTGGGTTCAATCCCGGCAGAAGCGGAAACAAATGGGCAGAGTTTCTTTCACCCTGAAAAAGAGTCATCTAGCAACAAATAGGTACCAGTGAGTTAGACAGCTGCTACAGCTGCTTCCTGGGGATGTGTGTGCATGAAAATTAGGATTAAGGACTTGCCCGAAACGCTATGCGTGCTAGTGGCTGTACTCCTATATAATAAATAAATAAATAAATAATACACCTCCACATTCTACTATACTATGATCCAGCATTTTAAGAATATTTAAGGAAAGTTGTATTTAAAAATGCAACATATTTAAATAATACTTCAATCACAATATCGCCTTATTATTACAGAAGCAACACTTAATTCAACAAAATAGCTCTTTACTCTTTATTATTTTTATCTCAATTGTCCATTACCAAATGTCACTACCAGCCATAATGCTGCTATTATATATCACAAGAATTAGTTACCATTATATTTGATACAATTCAGCAAACCACTTACTGAGAGCCATCTCATCGAGAGACAGTTGCTTCCGAAGCACTGAGTAAGATATGGATTATTTAGCAAAGAAAATCTAGAACAGGATTTAAACTTTAATTTTGCACTTGCAAACACTTTTATTAATACCGTACATCAATGATAACTTCAGTAAAAATGTAGCTTCTACTTAAATGGCAAAGTGCAACCCTTCCTCCAAATAGACAGTATGTTTTAAAACTAAATGTAACAAGTACATTCCTGACTGTCTGCATAGTACTTAAATACACTTAATTGTGCTGTTACATTTACCTCAAGATATATTCTCCTAATTTGTGTTAATACACTCAAAATTTTTCGGTTGAAGTTTTCGTGTTCAATTCTATATACACAAGTTTTAAATACAGTATAAAGAATTTCTTTTTTACTTTAATTAAATAATTGACATTCTATACAAAATTTGAAAATATCCTGAGTTACTTTATAATTTATTGAAAGACTTTAGTTTTGTTGTATTAGTTTTATAAAATTGTAATATCAATATAGCTATAGGTTAAGTACTAATTGTAATTAAGAAGCAGTAAATGCTATTTACATGCTTGTCCTCCTACACTCCCAAAGGTTAGGTTAGGTTAGGTCGTGGTTTTCTATACAGCTTTTCAGGTAAACTCTAATAATCACAATATTTTGGTGCCATGCTGGCGATTAAGTGTATTTATGTACCATGCCGATAGTCAGGATTGTACTTATTACATTTAGTATTAAAACGTGCTGTCTATTCGGAGGATGGGCTGCAAAGTGTTAATTTTGCCCTAAGTGATATAACTTATCAGTTCCCCATTGTGCAAACAATTACATTATTCAAATACCAAGATATTAAAAACTACAAAAAATAATAATAAAATATAGCCAATATACTTTCATTGTAGTAACAAATTATAAAATATTTACCTTGCAAAGTTTCATCCGAGGTATGGGACGAGATGGAAGAAGACGACCCACCAAGGGTAGTAAAGATGGAGCCTCTTTCATCGCCACGGACCGGAGATGCATTGCGTCGGATTGTCTCCTCTATGAGATGTTTAGCTTGGCTTGAAGAGAAAAAAATTTTACTTTTAACACTACTATGTTATTAGTCATGAGAGTGCAACTTTATATTAAAATAATAAGTACCATGAATAAAGCAATATCTCTCATTATAAAACAGACTGTGCTGTAAGTAATTTTACATATTATATAAGGCAGAAACACCAGCAATAACTTAAACAACGAATGGCATTTCAAGATATTAAAAGATGTGTTTTCCTAACACTGATATACCAGTGTACCTAAATAGAATGTATGCATATATACAGCACTTTATAATTCAACACAAAACTTGAACATCAAGAGATTTAAAAATACAACAGACCAAAACTGAGGAGGCTGTACACAAATAGTTTTATGTCACTCCTCACAGCCATCAATAGAAAAGCAATCCTTTGGCAAAAAACCAGCGTTGAATGTAATGAAACGCCATTTTCTGGGTGAGCCCCGGAGGCTCCCTGGAGCTTATCGGGCTAATGTGTGTTATGTTAGACCGGGACATTAGCTAAGGAGTTCAGACCTACCAGGGACCAGCGCCAGAACCTGGCCCCTTCAGAGAGGTTTCAGGGAGCAATGGCCCTGGAAAACCCCATATGGTTGGGGGTTTTCCTTATCTGCCATCGACCGGGGTTAGGCACCCAGAAAGGTAGGCGTAACAAAACAAACCCCACATGGTAAGAAACTACAACAAAAACCAAACAGAGGTAGAAAACTCCCTACAATCCCAAGGAAACAAGCAAACAAGCAAACATCACACTTTACTGCCGCGCCGATCGTCCGCGCAGCCCTCCCCACCCCGGGAGGGGGAGGGGGGAGCCCCGGACCTACCGCGCCGGCTGCCAAGCTCCAGTTCGGAAGCTAAGCTTCAACCAACGCGAAAAAACCGCCGACCGGTGGGAGGGAGGGTTTCCAGGGAGCCTCCGGGGCTCACCCAGAAAATGGCGTTTCATTACATTCAACGCTGGTTTTCTGTGGGGAGCCCCTACGGCTCCCTGGAGCTTCATACCCAAAGAGAAGGAAAAGAAAGGGCTAACCCGGGAGGCGGCCGCCACAAACTCTGCAACGCAAAGCCAAGGCAACAAGAACGCCCAAGAACAGACGCACATATGGATGGGCGGCCAAAAACCTGTGCGACCCACAATTCCCTGCGCCCGAAATGAACCCGAGACGTCACCAACACAGCAGCAATTGCTGCAAACGTCTGAACAGCACGGGCGCAAAGACAGACCGCAGTAAGAAGGAAAACACTGCGGACGACCCGGGAAACCCGAGCCCTGAAAACAGGGAACGAAGGAACCGGATCAACCACAGCGCATCCCCAGGCACGGTACGCCGGCAACAGCAAAAAGAACAACTGGACAACACAGGACGCACCCCCCGGCCAAACCAAACAAGTACCAATACCCCAAGAACCCCTCCGGAAAGCAGCCGTCTCGACCGTCGCCAGGACAGAGAAAGGCTGCACACCAATAAAGCTACCACCAGTACCAAAGAGGAGGAAACTGAAACCGAAGGGGCTACCACAAACTGAGGGGAAGAGAAGAAGGCACCCTGAACAAGGACCAGGATGGCTCAGGCGACTCATGAGCAGGCCGGAGGGGAAACAAAACGCGAGAAGACGTAATAACCGTCATACAGTCTCCAAGACGAAGCTCGCAGGTGGGACACCGTCAACAAAGCCACCTGAACACCATAGAGATGGCGATACCTGCGTCAAAATACCAGACGCGAAGAGCCAAAGAGAAGGCCGAACCAGTCACGGACAGGACCGATTCGGCCTGCTGAAAGAGGCGAAGCCTCAGGAAAAACGCCCCGGGTACGGACACCTATCAAGCAGCGTCTGAAAAGAAGGCCGGGCCGGCCACAGTGGAACCATAAGGACTGTTCTCGTGGGAATGGGCTGCAACTGAGCCAGAACCCGAAGCAACAGCTGGACCGGGAGAAGAGGTACAGGTACCCCCCACCTCGACCAGGCCTGCCGAAAGCCTCCACCGTGAAGTCCTCGCAGGTGGGAAGGGCGCCACAAAACGGGCGACGCCTAGACCACGCCGACCCGAAGACGTCCATGGCCAGGAGTCCATAAGCCCAACAGAGCCAACAAAACGAATCGGCGACGACTGGCCAACCCACGAAGAGGAATGAACCGAGACAGCTGTCCACCAGGACGCAGGACACACCCCGGACACGAACCACACGGTTAACCAAACCCCCTGTGGTTCCGGCAAGAACCACCAGAGAACAGTCCAAACAGAGCTGAATGGTAGAGTACCTAGTGACCCAAACCCTCCGAAGCGCAAACCAGACAGCCATGAACACCTGAACCGGGCTGTGAGCCCGACGGACAGACAGACTCCATCAACCTCGGCCGACCTGGTGAGCACTGGTCACAAAGCCCCAGCCGAGAGACGACCCGTCCGTGAACACATCGAGCGAAGGCTCGGGGAGCCGCCAAGGCACGGAACCCCGAAAACCCCAAAGAGGAAGCTGGTGACGCAGCACCAACACCAGATCCCCAGAGGAACCCAAGGAATGCAAGAGGCGGAAGTGGAGTCTCCGTAGGAACCAACCGACGCCGGAGCCAAACCCGACTCCGCGGGCAGACAAGCACGCCGAAGTGCAAACTCCCGCACAACCGCCCAAGCAACCGCTGAGCAACCCGGGACCCCCTCCTGAACAGCCAAAGGCGGGACCACAGCCACAGTAACACTTCTGGAGGGAAGACAATGAGGGGCCCAAGAGCCTGAAACAAGGCCCAGGTCCGAACCCGGGACGGAAACAGAAGGTAAAACCTCCAGATCACCAGGAAACCAAACCCAGCGATCTGGAAAGAACCATCCCCTGGCGAGCAGACAAGCGGACTGACTGGGAGCCCACTCCAGCCAGTCGTCGAGGTAGGCCAGACACCGAATCTCAGACGCAGACAGGGCACTAAGATCCGGTAAAGATGCAAAGAGTATACAAAGTGCCCTTCACAAAATAGGGAATGCAATAAAAACAGCAAACCTGAAGCCCCACCACCAAAGCATTGTATGACAATCATATGAAGACATATTATGACACATGACAATCATTATATGACAATATGACAATTATAATCAAAGCATTATATGACAAAGAGTGCTGGGAAGACGGGACACCACGAGAGTAGCTCTCATCCTGTAACTACACTTAGGTAAGTACACATAGGTAATTACCAACCGTGCTAGCCCCAGAAAAACTGGAGAGGAACGTGCCAAGAAGTGACCTGGAGGTCCAGGTCCACCATCCATGCACCCGGCCCTAACAGAATCCGAACAGGAGACAACAGTCCTCCGAGCAGGGCAGAGGATCCAGGGCGCAGACGGAAGTAGTCCAGAAGAACTGCAGACTGGAAAAGCTCATGACTGCAAAGAGCAGACGGGAAAAGCTCATGACTGCAAAGAGCAGACGGGAAGCCCAGAAGGATGGGGCGGATCGACCACGCCCCACGCACCCACGAAGAGGAAATGACGAAGCGCAGGGAAGAAGCCCACCCCGCCAGCTCTGAACCCCCCCCAAGGGGGAGAAGCCGTCCTCCGACGCCAGCAGAGGCCGGAAGACAACCCAAAGCGCCCACCAACAGCGGGACCAAGCGAGAGGCAACAGAGCAAGCTGCTCCCCCAGCGCCCAGTCAACAGAGAAGGGAACAGAACCCCTTCAGAAAGAAAAAGTACACTACCGAAGTCATGAGGAGAGACTACGGGAATGAAACCACACTTCGCTGGAAGAGGAAGTGAGGGGAGACCTGATCACCACATACAAGATACCCAAGGGAATCGACAGGGTTGAGAAGGACAGGCTATGTAACACAAGGGGCACACGCACTAGGGGACACAGGTGGAAACTGAGTACCCAAAAGAGCCACAGATAGAATTAAAGTTTTTTTTTTTTTTTTTTTTTTTTTTTTTTGAGTGTCAGAATGGGAACGGGAAAGCACTAAGAAGTAATGTGGCGACTCCTCACACAAGTAACGAGGCTGACCCCCATACAATGTCACATGTAGACATGACAGAGCCCAAGAGGCACAGGAACCGATACACGAGCGTAGCTCTCATCCTGTAACTACACTTAGGAATACACCAATTACCTGTTGACGGACGGTTGAGAGGCAGGACCAAGGAGCCAGAGCTCAACCCCCACAAGCACAACTAGGTGAGGACATATATTGTAAAAGCACAAGCCGCCGACTAGTGGCAAAGAGCACTACGCTGGCCAGGCAAAGAAGGCACAAAACTGCATCAAAAGGCCCACCTCGACAGCAAAACCACAAAGTCCCAGCACAACCACAACATGTGCCAAGACCCAAAAAGCTCAGTCTGCAAGCCAGGAAGACCCCGGAACCCCAAAAGGCAGAACCGGGTCACACGAGGAAACAAAGTCCCCTGAACCCACAAAAGGGGGCCCAAGAGGAAGAAACCTCCAGAACGAAACCAAGGAACCCAAAGGAACCCAGAATCGAACCAGGGGGAGCCCAAACCACCACATTTGCCGGCGGAGAACACCACTAAAAGGCAAAGCACAGACCCCAGCAGAACGCCCTGGGAAAACGGTCCCAACAGACCGAAAACCGAGGGGCAAGGTGTGGGAGCAAGCATACCAGCCAGGGGCACTGAGCCTAAACCCAGAGGCTCAGACCCAAAATCAACACCCAAACGTTCCCAGAGGAACAGGCAACGGCAAGAAAACACCAGAAAAACAAAGAAACGACAACAGGAGAACAAAAACCCTGCAAATTTTTTGAAAACTCACCAGAGACGCTCGCTCGCACACCCAGACGCATGTAAACAAACCGCAACGCCGCCCTGGTGGCCACGCCGTGAAACCGGCAGACGAAAATGGCCGCCAGCAGGGGCTGTGACTGACGCTTAATACACAAAAACACGCCAGCAAATGTGGGAAGCTAGCAGACTGGAAGGGCGAAAAACGACGCCCAACAGCAGAAAAACCCCTGAAGGGGCAAAACCGCCCCAGAACTGCTAGCAGGCAA